GGCGACTGCGGCCGCGCCAGCCACCTGCGCCCGCCCCCGACTCCGGTCTTCTTGACTGTGCCTCGGCACCGGGCCCACGTGGACGAGGGAAGAGAGAGTGCGGTAGATGCTTCGCAAGTCTACCATCACTTAAAACTAATTCACGCGTAAGTCACTTTCCATGCTGTGGAGCACACGGTCGACCTTATCAAACCGGACGGCTGACCTGCGGTTAGTCTGAACAAGGGTACATTTAGAGACGAACCGGTGCAGGTTTTGTTTGTGATGTCCACTGCATAGTCATCAACAAAAAGGACAACATGCTCCCTGGCCTAATTGCCTTTTATGAAAGCCTGATTCTAGAATCTGCGTCGACACCTGTTGGTTATGCATCCTTTTTGCCGTGGGAAATAGGAAGGCGCACGAGAAACCACTAGGCATGGTGACAGCGACTGAGCCTTCTTTGCTAGTTGCGTCGCGTGCTGCTAAGTCGATGCAAATTTTGCTCTTCGCTGATTGGCTCGGCCCACAACTCTTGCTGCCAGACACTGTTGGCTCTCTGATTGGCGAAATAATTTCTACCGCTGATTTCTGTGCAGCTGATACTCTCCCAGCCAGACTAAGGCCTACCCTAGTATTATACTCATGTCTTACCAACTTTTGATTTGGGCTGATGAAGGGATTAAACGCGAGGACACGGAATTACGTCACTACATTTGTCACCGTCAGGTCTTCAGGTGTCGGTCCATCTCGCATCATGCCATCATAAATGTATCTGAGCATCGACGTGGGACGTTCGAGACATCAAACTTGATGAAAAGTCCTTTCGGTTCATAATTTCGAAGGACTTGGTGAAATTCGAGAAGTTGGCATGCCGACTGTGAAGAGCACCTGAGGTTTGCTAATTCATGAAGTCACGTGAATTCCAAAAGAAAATCCCTGTTAGGCAAAATCAACCCACATTGCGTCCCCCAGTCTTACAGCGATACAAAACGACTGTTCTTGAGAAAATATTTTGTTTATAAATTAATATTTACTGACATAAAAAAGTAACCTTAAGAGAAAACTCGATCAAACATAATCATTACCTAAACAAGTATGAAAAAGGATCTGGACAGACTTCTCAATCCCTAGCATATTTTCATGTGCTGCCGGGTGTAGTCTATCATGGCGATTTGAGAAAATTAACACAAGTAAATAAGAACTCAAATCTCAAAATCGGGTGGGAAAAACGGCACCCGGGGACTGAATCAGTCGATATCAATTGCGCATATGCCTGTTAATGTTCAGGGATTGAATCGACTCCATGATTAATTGTTCTAGCAAGCCTTGTTTCAACCTTGGTGATCTTTTCATTGCGCTCGCTGCAAACTGCCTAGGAGGGACGGATTTGACACCTTGTCTCCTCCCTTGATCGATGGGTATGCTGTTCTTTCCCGTCTGCGTCTGGCAATTCCTTGTTTTAGCGTCTACGACATGGCGGCATTCCGTTTCATCTAGAGACTCAAGCCCCGTAGTCGTCGAGATAGTAGTTGTAATGAGTGTGAATCCGGGTGCCTGATCCCGCGGCACATAGCGATTGCTCAGGGTCACAGCAGGTGTCATTTTCTTGATGACCAGACTACAACCCTGTCTCACAACAGCACCCAGATCGGGTTTCTTGCTGATCTCGGGAGGACCACGAACTAGCAAACCTTCAATGTCTTCACCCTCAGCGGGCTGCGTCGTCGTATGTGCTGGTTTTGTCGCGTCAATTACCCTGCTCGAATTTGGCTCCCCTGCAGGTAATGTGTCCGAATTAATCTGTCTGAAGTTGTCGGGCGGGTTCGATCGAGTTGACGACACTTCAATACGTACAGTCCCTGGGCCGGGCATCCTGCTCCTCTCTCCGCTCACTTCCAAATCTTTAGTTGCGATCGTCCTGTCAATTAAGGTGGTTGTCTCCGTAGAAACGTAGTCTTCATTTGAGATAAAGAGTCGATGATATAAATGCCGGCACGTGTCACCCATCGATTGGGAAATTGTGGTTGTGCCTGCCTTCAATGTCGTCGAGTCGTCATCCTCCACTAAATCACTGCTCTTATCCTCTGGCTTTTCTGGTTTTCTCTTATGCCCGGGGAAGTTAGCGTTCTGCGGTTTCGGTTCCCCAACTTTTGACTGCTTTTTCACCCCTCTTTGTACCATGTCACATCTGAAGGCAGCCAAACCACAGAATCTTCCGTTTTTCCTGAGGCCCATGTTAGCCTTGCCACCGACCTAGTTTTGCACCAGTCACGAACGGGCACGTGCAGTGCCGAGACGACCTTGTCCCGAAACCGCTGATTGGTCAACGAGAGGTTGATGCAGCTGATCGATTGACGCGTATTGTTGTCCTGTCTAAATAATGCTGACCTTAATACCGGATACCTGATTAGACAGCCACATGCATTTACCCTAACGCATGTTTAAGGCTCAGTCGTGATGTTTTTGGCGCCCTTAAGCTCGCATCAGTTCTTTTTTGGTTCTCTACGCCATGTGTTTGTCATCTCCTTCTTTATTAAGCGTCATTGTCATTCAATTTTAAATGGTTTAGACTCGGTGCTTTCAAAACAATTATTCTACTCAACGTTTCAGAAAATTATCTGCACCATTTCCAGCGAGGTTTCTCTATAAATGTCGCTAAGAACTGAGAATAGGAATCTCGAACCCCTCCTCCCCCATTAACACAAATGGCCTTGCCGTCAATTTCAGGAAGGATATCTATTCTCATATTCAAACCCTAAATCCAAACTTTACGCCAGCACTGTCCTCTATAATTTAGCGGAAAGCTACGTGCGTTGCGGAGAGGGGATGAGGGAGATTCCCACTTAGAATGGGCACTCCCTTAGGAAGAGCATGGAAGCGGAGCAGTATAAAGCTGCCTTCACTATATAGAACCTGTCGTAAATGCATCCTAAGATAAATATTATTACAAACTGACAAGGACGAGGTAGACTGGAATGGCAGTTTCTGGCTTATAAGCCGCCAGCACCCAGCTATAATCAACCCTAAGTTTTGCAACCACCTGGGGTTCGAATCCGCAGTCCATTAGTTAGCAGTCCAACACCCGAACCAGTGAATCACTGGCTCTTTGTCCTGCCACTTGCGATGGGATAGATTAAAAATGGTTTCCAAAATCTTTGGAAGCCTCGTTCGGCCGCAGCTGGAATTCGCTATACAGGCATGGAGACCTTGGGCTGTCAAAGACTGCACTGTCTTAGAAAAGGTCCAGAGGAGAGCGAAAAAATGGTCAAAAGTCTGGGAACACTGCTCTATGAAAGCAGGCAGGCAACCCTCGATCTATTTCGCCTTTCCTACAGACAACTTCGAGGGGACCTCATTTCCTACTATGAATAATGTGGATTGTTGTTTCGTTCAAGACGATTTGTTTAACCAGGTTAATACGCCAACTTTGCGTGGGCATCTCCTTAAAATACGCACCAGCAAAGCAAGAAACGACGGACGAAAGATTTTCTTCAGCAGCAGAGTAGTTGCAGCGTGGAACGCCCTCCCCGAAGGCGTTGTCCTCTCCACCTGTGTTAATTCTTTTAAGAATAGACTGGGCTAGCATCAAGGACAAGCACACATGCAAACCATGTAAAAAACCACTGCATTACATTATGCTGCATCGCATTATACTGCATCACTTTATACTGAGTCACGCTATACTACTCGTGATTAGCGAGTAGTCATAGCTTTCTGTCATATTTTGTGACTATTTAACTATCTAATAACTGTGGTCTCTCCGGAACATGTAATTGACGTAATTTTTAAACTTTTCCTTGTATCCATTTATTTCCTATCATCTTTTTACCAATAGGGAATTCAAAGGCGTTCGCCTATCTTTCCCTCAATAAACTGATACTGAGCATCCAGCACGAAGGCCTATTCTTTAAACGGTACACCGCTACAACAAGTTGAGAGTCAGAAGGACTTGGGTGTGTGGATAACTTCTTCACTCAAACCAACACTGAACTTTACGAAGGCGGCGAAGTCGGCCAGATCTATATTACCGTTGATTAGACGAGCCTTTATGGGTTTTGAAAAAGACAGCTTTTCCAAAATCTT